CAATGGTCAAAGCTTATTATGTATAGACCAACCCAAATCCACACCCCTTATGGAGGATACTCACAAATGCATTTGTGGACCTCACATGAACGGAAAAATGCTTGCTAAGATAATCTCACGACAAGGGTACTTTTCGTCCTCAATGGAACATGATTGCATACAATTTGTCATGAAATGTCCAGGGTGCCAAATGTTTGCTAATTTACAGTACCTCCCACCATCCAAACTATTTAATCTCACTTCCTCTTGGCCCTTTTCGATTTGGGGAATTGACATAATTGGAAAAATCTCTCCAACAGAAGCAGGAGTAGTAGCCATCGATTACTTAACCAAGTAGATTGAGGCCGCTTCTTACATTAACATCACTTCTAAACATGTCGTAAAGTTTCTCGAATGAAACATATTTTGTAGATATGGAGTTCCACATGAAATAATTAGTGATCAGGGATCTCAATTCAAAGCAAAAGTTGAGACCCTCTTAGCTCGTTACAAAGTAAAACATCATCATTTGTCCCCATATAGACCCCAAACGAATGGAGCTGTAGGATCGGCGAATAAAAATATAACAGACATCATTAAGAAAATGGCAAAAAATTACAAAGACTGACCGAACAAACTACACTTCTCTCTACGGGGTTATAAAACATCCATACGAACATCAATAGGAGTAACTTCACACTCCTTAGTTTTCAACATGGACGCAGTTCAACCAGTTGAACTAGAAATACCATCCCTATGCATCGTACTCGAAAGTAAGCTACCGAAAGCTGAATGGGTACGAGCAAGGTACAAGGAGCTTTTATTCCTCAATGAACAACGATTAAAAGCTTCAGATCATGTACAAGTCTACCTACGACGCATCGTGCGACACTTTAACAAACGGGTACGACCCCGTAATATTAAAGAAGGTGACTTTGTATTAAAAGAGGTCAGGGTTCTACCAACCGTTCCAAGAGGGAAATTCATACCTAATTGGATAGGACCCTACCGTGTAATTGAAATTCTATTAGGAGAAGCCGTTCGATTTATGGATATTGTTGGCGATGAAATCCGTCAACTAAACATTGATCAAATTTAGTAATATTACTTATAAAAGTCAGGATAAACTCGTTTATTCATAATTCACAATCATGTCTCTTAGGATTCACATAAAAGATTCAAAGTGTTATAAACTTTACCGAATCACACACTAAAGCTCATAACACTTGGGGGGTAATCACAAAACATGTCATTCAAAGTGTTCAGATTTTTTCAAACATCACAAAAAACTCTTCACACTTCGAGGGGTAATAATAATTGATTTTAAAAAAATTAAAAAAAACACTCGTAGCACAGGTGTCGCGCGCAACTAAAAGAGTTGAGCGCAGATGTCACGCGCAACTAAAAGAGTTGCGCGCGGATGTCACGCGCAACAAAACAAGTTGCGCGCGACAGGCATGCGAAACCTTGGACATTGTGCGCGCCACCTGGTGACGAAATACGAACCCATAATTTACACATTAATAGAATTTTAATTTTTAGTAGCGATAAAATAAGGGTGTTTTCAACACTACATATACTTGGAAGACAACAAAATTAAACTTTGATTTAAAATTATTAAACAAATTTTGATTATTTTTTCATTTAATTTGTACAAGTAGGATCAAAGAAAAAATATTTAAAAAATTATTAATTAAAATTTTTTCACAATGAACTACACAAAGACCTGATTTCATAATACGAATACGTATGCAATCTTTTGATTCGGTCATATGAATAAAACAAAAAAAAGAGCTCATTTTTATTCGAAGCAAAAAGTTATTCAAAACGAAATCATATAATTAGATAATACATCATTCAAAAAAAAATTACTACCTCCATTAAATATTATGTGCAACTTTGGAATATTAATACCCCAAAGTTGCACATAACATTTAACGGAGGTAGTAGTACTAATGATTACACTTTATTTAAAAAATTTTAAGCAAAGTATAGTTTCTGCTAGAGCTAAGGGTGTGGCTGAATGACATCCATCTATTTGCTTCACTATGGACACCATTGAATAATCCCCCATATTCTTTGTCTATCCTAAATAAACAATTAATAACAAGACAAAAACAAAAACCACGAATTTTAAAATGGTGTTTCGTCAAGTTGTTGCGAGGAGCGATGAAATGTTCAATATTTTGAATTAAATTCACGCCTTCTTCTATCCAAAAAATTTTCCATATCATTGTCTTTCAAACCAAAAAATCGTTGAAACGTAGGCTTCAAATTTGACAAGGTAGGGGCATATGTCACATTAGGGAATGTGTCATGGCTGCTTGAAGAGGGAGAATTCAGAAATTGCGTGGTCGCGTTTAAAATGCATTACTCAGTAATCATTTAGTTTTGTAATTCTAACTCAAATTTCAAGAAACGATTTGTAGATTAATATGATCTTGACATGTGATGCAATCATATTATCAAGTCGACACATATTGACTTAAGGAATTTGTATATTGCACACTTGTCTCATAAAAGTGGGAGATTGAAGGAATTATGTCGTCGTCGTGTGCAATTTCTAGATATATAAATGGATCAAATTATGGAGATAATTAAGTTCGTACATTTAGGTCGTTGTTATATCATAGCTAGAAGTACTAACGATTTTTGGGCTAGTAAAATAGGTCAAATACCAATTACATGGATCCTATAAGGTCACACAAAGGGCCTATATTGAGCATTAGAGGACGAGGCCTATCACGGGCCTCATCAGTCTCGGTGGCCGGCCATAGGGAGGATTAAAGGGGTTTTGGGCTTTGTGACTTAGTCTAATTATAATGGGATTATAAATAGACTAAGTGCATAGGGTTTTCACACATTGAATTCAGTGATTAGTTTGATCAAAACCCAATTTAGCAAACACAAAACCGAACCCTCTCAAACTCCTCTCTCTCTCTCTTTCTCACGACTCTCCCCTCCTCCTCGGCGCCGGTGGTGGTAGTGGTTTGTGTGATGGTCGGTTGTCCATTAAAGATGGTGATCGCGGTTTTCCTCTTTCACTCGGCCAATCTAGTATTGGTGGATGGCTCATTCGAATCTCGTGGACCAAGTAGAGGAGCAACACTTGGGGCTCTCCCTGATTTTCCTGTGAAATAGCTTCGTGGAATTCACACTTCAAAAGTATAATCATGTGTCTTGTGTGTTATGCATGTGATATTGGGATTAGGTGCTTTATAAATATAATTCATGTTTTTCTGCATTATAGTACTTGTAAACTCCTATATCTCGGCCATGATAGGCATGCTAAGCTTGCGGCCAAGCCTTTCCTTGCGGCAATGGCTTTGGCTAGCCATCCTAGCCTTCGGTTGGCTAGGCCAATACAAGACTAGGATTTTCCAAAGCAATAACAATTTGCGAAGATTTTCTAGTTTGAGGATTTTATTTCGATAGGCCAATCGCAGTCCGAAATTGGGAATTAACCCATCATCGCAGTCCGAAATCGGGATTTTCAAATCCAACAATGCTACCATTAACTATTAATTTCGATAGCATTTGTTGAAATGATGAAGTTGGTATTTTGTTGTGGTTTTTAATTACCCGGTCTATTTTGTAATTTTTTTCTATGTTTGTTCGAAATTTGAATTAAATTTGTGAAAATATACAGCTACGGTTTTGGTGAAAAAAAATTGCGAAGATTTTCTAGTTTGGGGATTTTATTTTCTTAAAAAAAACAAAAAAGGAAATGGAGAAAAAAAAAAACATGTCCTTTTCAAGCCCCTACCTTACTTTTTAGTTTTCCTGGCCTTGGTTTTGGGTTTTCCTTTTCAATTCCATTTTTTTCGTAAGTGAGGTAACAATTAAAGGATGATTGTGCATTTATTAGAGTCATCCATGACTAATTACTAGAGTCTTAAAATTTCTCTTTGTTGTTTGAACTCATGATAGCATTGATACGCGAAGGAAGTTCTAAAAACAACAACTCAAAAGTCTCATAGACTAAACTGAGAAAATACAAGTTTAACTTGATGATAAAAAAAATTTGTTTATCTAATGACATTTTTGTGAATAAATCATCAAAAAAAATCCCAGTCAGCTTGACATTTTCGTAAATAAGTCAACATTTGTGTAACCCGCATATTAATAAAAGTTGTTCACTTATTTTAAAAAAAAAATCATGCTGATTGGGATGAATTGTTGATATATTTACGAAAATGTCATTAGATAAACTAATTTTGTTTAACATCAAGATGAATGGGGGCTCTCTCGACTAAACTTTCAAAAACTAGCTAGCTACTTAGCTGGTTCCATGTGTTGATTTTTTTTTTTTTTTTTTTTAAGTTCACTTTGTTGATATCATAACTAGAGATAAGCTTATTCCTTTGAGCAATAATGGGAAAAGAAAAAAAAAAGGATAGTTATTGATTTAAGCCTATTAAGGATTTGTTGACAATTTCTACCTATAATTGTTGTTTTTTTTTGCAATTACCACCTACATTTTTTTAAAAAAAAAAGTTTTATTACCAACTATTTTTCAAAACATTAAAACTTCCCACCTATATGACTTGCAACTCAAATATGACATCATATGGGGCCCATTAACTACATTTTCCCTCCCTTCCTTTCTTTCTCTCTCATTTTCTATATGCGAAGAGATGAGGCAGGGGGACCATTGTAGCTGCTGTAAAACGAGTGAAAGCACGGTGGTGTCAGGTGTGTATAGAAGTTCAAGTTGGGGATGCTGCTCGCAAGACAGTTGGGGCACATGATTTCATTCAATTGTAGTCATTTTCGTAGATCGGGTAATACCTTAGCGTCTTCAGTAGCTAGATTCTATACTGGTGAAACTTCTTATGTATGGCTGATCTATTTTCCCCAAAGCTTTATCTTTGACAGAAAATGATCTTCACGGTTTATTCAAAAAAAAAAAAAAAAAAAAAAAAAAAAAAAAAAAAAACATTAATACACAATCACAAATATTAATAATCAAATTTGAGGATTGTTTTGTGAAATAATATTAGCTTAATATCAAGTCAAAATGTAATCAATGCTCAAAACATTCAACAGCAGACAACATTAAATCAACAGCAGCAACAGCACCTTAAGCAATCTGAGCACAATCTTAAGCTTAAACAAGAGTAGAAAGAAAGGCTTACACCTAAACATCAGTCTTACACAGTTAACTACCAAGATCAATACACTACATTGTTCAAACTAAACCTACATTACATCAGAGAATAATGAAAAACAGGCTAAAATACAACCTAAATCATACAAAACACCCAAAAGAAGAGATAAGATTACATTTACATCAACCCAAAAATACCAAAAAAATGGAAAATCTAAGCCTACTTCTTAGAGTTCTTATCATCATCAGACTTGTCAACTGCAAGTACATGAACTTTGTCATAGTCATACATCACAGGTTTAATCATATACTCTTCAGGAGCAACCGGCTTCTTTGAAACGAAAATACTCCATACAAACATCACAATGTAAGCTCCTAAAGCTCCACACGCAGTGCCAAGAATCAGAGCTGTAAGAACCTTCAGCTTACAGTCACTCTTTTGTCGAAACACGACCGACTCTGCATCTTTCGCAACGGGTTTAGGATCTAATGGATGCGAATGCATCCAATAAGGAACTAGTCTTAACTTGAAGCTCCATGAATATAACTTGCATACTTGACTAGAATTTGCATTTGATGAGCTTAAGCCAAAGAAAACCTTCTCACCCTTGAAGATTTCTGACAAATCAACAGGACAAGATAGCAATGGAGAAACAGGTCTTTCTTCACCCTCTTTACTCATTCGAACCTCGATTCGTTTTGAACTCGCTTCGTAATCGATCCAACATTGCAGCTTCTTCCCACTACTCAATTTCAATTTCAAATCAGACCCATTTGTTACTTTTATTGAAACCAAACTACCAACATCAATTCCAATATGATTATTGCTCAAATCTCCGAATTCAGCATCAAATTTGGTATCAAATTCAACAGCGAAAAATGCTTTATTCTTCTTCTCAATCAATTCATTCGACAACCCAAAAAGTTTCCCATTATAACCACCAGAAGAATACCCTTTTGGAAGCATTACAAACAAAATCCCGTCTCCATCTTCAGAGGAGAGAGAAAATGTAAAATAAGTCCCAAATGAAGCCTTCCTACTCCCATTTCTATCCATCAACTTAATGGGTTTTCTGTACATAACCCGACCCGAACTGAATGAATGAGATTCAGTCAATTTAACAAAAGACCCATTTTCATCAACCTTTGCTTCACCATAAAACCCGATTTCAGGGTCCAAAAACTTAGAATTATTTCCAACATTTTTGAACCCAAATGAAGTAGAACTCGAATGAACCAACACATCATCCATAAAACAGAAAAACATAGCAAAATACAAGATCAAAGAGTACCTTAAACTGAAAATCATCGCCATCATTGATCTGTAGAAGTGGGTAATTTGTGATTTATGATTTGGGTATTTTGAGAGGTGAGGAAAAGGAGGAATCTAGGGTTTGGTGAGTTGTTCAAGTAGAGTGCACGGGAAGAGTGGTATACTACTGAAAAATGTGTAAAGAAAAGGGCATTTTTTTTTTTTTGAGGGAAGTGAAAGAAAATTAAATGCACTTACTCGATTTCTGCAAAAAAAATAAACAGAGGACCTATGTAGTGAACTTTATTTCTCTTGGTCGTTGATAAAATCTGACTCAAATTATGATTTATCTTCTGTTTTAATTCTGTTTTGAATATAATAATCGAGAAAAGAAAAGGAAGATGGGGAAAAGAAGAGGGAAAGAATAAAAATAAAACATGCTTTATGGACAACTTTATTTTTGTCGTTGGGACCAATTTTGTTGCCAGCTGCTGTGTAGATGACATATCGTTCCAGATATTAAATGTTTTATTCCACTTGTTCTTAGTTTGTTACTCACTTATTACGCATGATGGACTGCTATGGTTAACCCTGTCGCATAGTTCCTATGACAATTCTATTAATAAGTTGAAGTTGGTGTAAGAAAGTGGGCCCAAAGATGCGAACATGTATAATGGAGCAAGTAGCTGATTTTGCTGATAACTAAAAACGAAATGGGGAGCGAAAAATTTAAAAAGTTAATTTTCATTTCCTCTTTTTATTTTGTTTTCGTTGTTCTCGAAAAACCCCAAAACAGAAATATAGGGGAGTTGAGGTGGATTGAAGGTACTGTACTGGGAGAAATGTGAAACCAGAATGGAATTTGATAGGCATTGATAAATCTGGTTAACCCCTATCGCATAGTTCCTATATATTTAGAATAAACATATAGGATGGCAATTCTGTTAATAAGTTGAAGTTGTTGTAAGGAAGTGGGCTCAAAGATGCCAACATGTATAACGGAGCAAGTAGCTAACTTTGCTAATAACGGAAAACGAAATGAGGAGCGGGAAATTAAAAAAGTTAATTTTCATTTCCTCTTTTTATTTTGTTTTCGTTGTTCTCGAAAAACTCCGAAAAGAAATAGAGGGGAGTGGAAGTGGATTGAAGGTACTGTACTGGGAGGAATGTGAAACCAGAATTTAATTTAAAGGCATTGATAAATCTGGAGTGGATTTGACGAATTATTAATTTGATACTCCAATTGATAAGATGCGAAATCGGTTAGAGGATATATTGGGGGTGGATTTAGCTGAAGCCATGCGTGATGTTGAGGAAGGTGGTCATGGATGTATAAGGGAGGTACAGTTTGATAGTGATGGTATTCGTAATTGGTGTTCAATAGAATTGTTATCGCTGTTAATTGTTAATTGATTGAAGGTATTTTTGTTTAATTTTTGTTGTCGAATTTTCATACTACTATACTTAAGTTGGTGGATTTGTTTTTAAGAGTAATGGATGTATAATTCTGCTCTTTGGGCGTTGAATATAGTTGTAGTAATGTAAGTAATTGGTGTTAATATGATCAAGATTTATAATTTTGGTAATTTGAATGTTATCGATAAATTTGTTAATGTTGGCTAGGGGAGTTACTATATCGCTATGTGTATGCAATGGGGCTTGAAATTATGAATTTTGATGGTATGTTATTGTTATAAGCTGATTAATATGTTAAAAATTCAAAGACACTATAAATGATTTTTTTTTTCTAATGGTGGTATGTGCACTAATATTTGTTCGATATAGATGATTTGTCACTGTGTATGTTATGGTTGTGTATTTATGTATGTTGTGGTATAATCATATATGTAGGGTGTTAGTGTTGGACTTGATTCCGAAGAAGATGAAGAAGAATGTGTCGGTGGAGAAGGAGAATTTGAGTATGTAGATGAGGTTGAAAACGAGGGAGATAGCCAGGGATTAGAAAATGATGAATTAGAAGAAGCAGAAGGGTTTGTAGGAGATGTAGGTGCAAGTGGATCAGGTTTTACGACTCCTAAGAGGAATAGGGGGATGGTGGAGACTGTTTTTTGGGGAGGAGGAGGAGGAAATACCACCCACTACGGTGGGTTGGGAAGAAGTAGATACCTATTTTTGGAGATATGGTAGACAGAGGGGGTTTGGTATTGTAAAGGCAGCAACTGGGTAAGGGAAGGTGAAGAAGGAATTGGGAGAAGGAAGGTGTTGTAAGCAGAAAAGGAATGCAAAGTGGACATGTTAGTGCTACGGGAAACCTTCAAGGAAGCGTAAAGTGGATATTTTAAAGGAAGGTTTTGCACAAGATGAGGAAACAGCTTTGAAGTGCAAATCGAAGAAGTGTGGATGTCCAGTTGAGATGTATGCTAGTGTGAATGAGGATGGGAATTGGGTAATTCGAAAGCAGAACTTGGAGCATGATGGTCACATTGTTACACCTAGAAAGGCGAAGGATGTATCAATGTTTTGGAAGCATGAGTTGCTAGAAAAGAACAATCACTTGGTGAAGCAGGTGCAAAATGCAAAGAAGTCTAGGGTATAAGTATCCCAGATGTATATTTGTTTTGCACTAGAGCGAAATGGAGTGGAGGAGATGGCCTTTACGCAGAAGGACTTGGAGAATGCAGTGGCGGAGAAGAAGAAACTTCATCTTACGGAGGGCGATGCCAATAGGATGATCGAGTATTTTAACAAAATGAGTGCAGACAATCAAAATTGTTTCATCCATGTAGGTTTGGGAAGGATGGTGCGTTGCAAGATTTGTATGGGTTGATGCGCGTAGTAGGGCAGCATATGAGGAGTTTTGCGATATAATGTGTTTTGATAGCACCTTCTTGACAAATAAATTTCATCTTCCTTTTGCGGTATTCCTTGGGGTAAACCACCATGGGCAAAGTATATTGTTTGGGTGCGCATTAATCTCTCGTGAGACTGCGGAGACGTATGAGTGGGTTTTCAGAACATGCACTGCATGGGGGGGTAAAGCTCCTATTGCTATCCTTACCGATTAAGATCCCGCTATTCGGAAAGATATACACCTGAGAATGTCTGATACGTGCCACAGGTGGTGCATATGGCACATTTTTTCAGCAATTTAGGAAGTACCTTGGTAAGCTTGAGGACTACAATTCAATAAAGGATGAGTTGGAAAATATCATCTATGGGAGTTTGGATGTTGATGAATGTTGGGAGGAAGAAATTTTGTGCTACGAGTTGGTAGACAATGAATGGCTTGAGTACTTTACTTAGTGGTTGTTGTTGAAAGATGTATGTTAAATGTCTTGTTGTGGAGTATTTGTTATTTTTTTTGTTCTAGATTGCAGGTATTGTTCTCCCCACACCTTCATACACACACACTCACACTGACATAGACTCTACAGAAAGAGGTATCTTCTTTCCCCCCCCCCTCCCTGCCCCAGTTCCTGTTGGCAATATTGTTTGATATTTTCAGCTTCATTGTTTCACAGTCACACACATACAGACACTCAGACTCTATAAATTGTATCTTTACAAGCTATTGTATGTGATTGATAGTTGGACACACAATTATTTGTGAGAACAGGGCTGTATCAGGAGAGGCACATGTGGATCCCTGCTTATTTGAAGCATTTGTTTTGGACTGGAATGAGAACAACGCAACGTTCGGAGTGTTTCAACCATTTTTTTAAGTATATGTTGACAAGAACACCACTTTGTCTGAGTTTGTTGTTCGGTATTGTGATGCTATGTCAATTAGAGCGGAAGCTGAAAGAATAGCTGACTCTAACACACTTCATTATGTTAGGCCAGTAGTGACTGATTTCCCAGAGGAGGCATTGTTCCAAAAGTGCTATACGGATTCCAAATTCAAAGAAGTGTAGCGGGAGTACCGTGATTGAGTTTTTTTTTATTAAGGGTCGTGTTTGGGTAAGGCCTAAATATGCAAGGAAAGAGAACGTGATGAAAGCACGGAGATGCTTTAGGGTGTGTTTTGACAGGATCACATATGAAGGTGTATGTGATTGTAAACACTTTGAGTGTCATGGGATAATTTATAGGCACATGATCCTTGTGTATGACCTTAGTGGGGTCTCCATTGTTCCTGAGAAGTACGTTCTGCGTCGTTGGCGGAAGGACGTGCAACGGAAACACACACGAGTAAAAGTGGCTTACCATGATCCATTGAAAACAGATGAAGTGAGATAATATCACAAACTGATGGGTACTTATGAATCCATTTGCTCTAAGGCTTCCACTTGTAAGGAAGGTGTTGAGGCTGTGATAGAACTATTGCAATTGATGGATGTGAGAGTTGATGAGGTTTTAGCAATAGTAGCCAAAAAGCGTGAACAAGCGGCGAAGGATAGTGCTGACGTTGCTCACACTGAGATCGAACCTGGTACTTTTCGCACACCCTCCTAAGTTGGAAAAAATAGCAAACCTAATGGCACAAACACACATGATGTTCTACGTTCAGGATTGACAACCAGTTGCACACCAAGTAGTGCTTTTCCAAGACAGTTATGAGGCTTTAGCCCTTGGGAGGATTAAAGACTCACCTTTGCCCAAAAAGAAGTCAAATCGAACTACGAATGTACGGTATCCCTCTTGCGCAGAGAAAAAGGGGAAAGAAAAGGCTGACACACGGGAAAAAAATGCAGTAATGGAAAGAGCAAAGAAGGCGGCAGCTGCTACGGCTGCCCAAACAACTATGTCAATGTCAAGTAATGAGTACATTTGATATGTTGGAGGAATTCAAATGAGAGATGTTGACGGTTCCTTAGGGTACTTCACTACTCGGAGTAGAAACTCTAAAGGAGTGTTTGCAAGTCTGCTAGGAGTAACTCCAACTTACAACAGTATGGGTACTCCAAGTTCCCATCCCATCCTATAATTTAGCTTAAATTATGATTGCACTATGTATTTTTCACCATAATGTTGTATTAAGATTTTACTCCTGATTTATATTTATTATTTTTGGGTATTTATCCTGATTTGCGGAATTTGGATTTGAATTTTTCTTCCATATGTTGTTTAAAATTCATTTCCAGAATAGGGGGGTATTCAATGGTACCTTTGCGTATGAATACTGTACCATAAAAACGCAAATGGCACAATTTTGTCGCAGAAAGTACCAATTAAGTTAAAAACGACTTAGAAAGATAACATGAATGAGAATTATGATAAAAGTAGAATGTCCAAAATATGATTAAACTAATAAAACGTTCAAACAATCTAACCAGAGACTGAACTACACTCAATCTAATCTAAGCCAAGTAAATTAAAAAGATGAAACCATTTCTTAATAAATCAGATTTTGTTGGCTTAGATTAATTAACCTCCATCAGTTGAGGTTTTCAATGGTTGAAGTTGAGTGACTGTAAGCACCGGAATCTTGGCCAGAAACCTCTGGAGACCAGCGT